GGAGTAACTTTTCAATTAAGATAAAGTTCTGGACTAAAATTGCTGAAATAAAACCAAAATATATGTACCATCTGTGACTGTATAAACTACCTGTCTTTAATGTTGATTACAGGCTTTACTTCACAGATACAGTTCTATGCCAGCTAGAAAATAAACACTATCTTAGCAAATTTCAAAATAAAACTAAAACCATCAGTGGTAAATGCACAATTCACCTTCAAGTACTTAAATAGCATGCACATTTAACAAGCTGGGTACTTTTATTATACAGTTTATTAATTAAACAAACTTCCATTCTCTTGGCACTTCTACAAGAGGGATTTAAAGAAAAATATTGAGAGGCTCTTTTCCATGGAAAAAGAATGAGGTAATTGCTGCAGTTTTGAAAGAACAAAATTTAAATTTACTATAGTGATCTGGTTTGCAACAGCGATCTTCTTTCCTCGTTAATATAATCTAGAACAAGTAACAAAATACTGTGCACTTACAGAGTCTTTCATTTGACGGCTTTATATGAAGTTTTCCATGTATTGTAACCAGAATTAATCCCATTTAGATGTTCTTCTCCTCATATAACTGTGTCCTTCACTATCAATAGCTTCATAGAGGTCTTTTTTATTCTCTTGCGTTGCATGTAGATAACCAATATAAGCCACACAAAGCGAAAGGGTTATCAATCCAAAAGCCATTACAGGTTTGTTCTGTTAAAGAAAAAAATTTAAAAGCCTCATTAAGAATATAATTTGAGCAGACCCAAATATCTGTTGCACATGCTCTTGACATAGCAAGTCTTTATTATCATGCTAGCATTCTTACAGCAATTTTTTCAATTATAATAATCTTAGTCCTTTATTTGATTAACATGATTTTTGTTAATTTAGAGATTCTAGAAGACTCTTACTTCTCTGCATTTTTACTACTGTCCACAGTCCAGACAACGCAGACATTCCACCTTCAGGAAGGTGATGGTTGGAGGAGCAGCACATGAAGGGGTAGGTTAGCATATAGGATTGGGCCAGAATTTTCAGTGTTATCTATGTGTAATGGAGAGGCTGTTTAAGAATCCTCTACACCAAATCGTTCCATTTGGCAAACCGCAAGTTAGCTCATTTTATTAGGAAGTAAGGAAAAAGTACAGTTAGTCATCTAACCTGATTCATGGATAAACTGGCAAAAGGTGTTTCATATCACATAGTAGATACAGCAAAAATAAGTATGTATTTACTCTTCTCTGGGAACCTATTTTATTACTTCAAGAAATTTAGTGATTGGAATGGATTCACTGCCAGAAAGTCCAAGACTTTAAGAAGGTAAAGTGATACAGCTCTGAATTATTTTTAAACTGCCTTTACTTAATAATTGTTTTTTATTTTAAAACAGTATACACTGTTGTATTTAAGAATCTAATCAAATTCACGTATACACTATAGTAATTTGATTTCACTTACATTTATTTTAAAATTAATATCTATTTAAATAAATTATATCAAACCAAATATATTCACCAATTCGGAATATAAATGATTTACTAACTCCCAAACAGTATACAAATGTGTATTTTGAAATATTTCCCAAAATGTTTGCAATATTCCTTAGGTAAAAATATTAATACAGATTATAAGAATGATCAGATTTCCATTTTATTTTCTTCATGAAATCTTTATTTTCAATGGACATCTTATTTATTTAGTAGTATCTGGTCAAACAAAAATTTCCTTCAAATTAATGCAACTATTAACATTTTAAATAGATTGAGGAGTTTGAGAAGTAGATACATTAAAATGCACCCATCTCCCATTATAATTCTCAAATGTCCTCAAAATAGTAATATAGGCATAATCTGAAAAGGCATTTGATTTTCCTTCTGCCTGCTTTTATTCAGAATGGTCTCTATGTTTTTTATGAAATTCCTACAAAATCAAATGTTACAGTGAAATAAATTTTCTATTTCTGATAGCCTAGTTAAATTAAACATCAAATGTTATCCTGGATGTATGTCTTACAGGTTTAATGAAGAGCTCTGGATTCACAGCTCTAAATAAGGTTGTGGTGCGGACCCCTCTGAGTCCTGGGTTTCGAAAGTTGCTCTCTTTGGGCTGTTCCTTTGTGGAGTTTGGAGGCTCACGTGCTGAAGACATCTGGACTTCAGGGTAGTTTATTACCTAAGAATAAAAGAACATGATTTTTTTCTCCTTCATGATTGTTTCTTTGCTAAAACTCTTTGAATATCATTGTATGCTTTCTTTTTGAATTCATGATCAGCTATATATCAAAAAATGGCTGTCAACTATTTTGTATAACTTATGACTTTGTAAACAGTAAATTTTGCTTTGAAAAAAAATTCCTTTTTTGGTTTCAGAATAAACCCTTAAGGTAGGAAAAAGTTGTTTTCCAATTCTAACAGGAGAACTGTTGTTGTTCTGAATCACACTGTATCAGTTCTGTGAGCTAGGTGCGAAGAGTAGCAGTGGCCAGTGGGTCATCCACACCTTTGTTTCCTTTCGTTTTCATTCTTCCTTACAGTCCAAAAGATCTTTTGGGGCAGCAAAAGAAGTACTAGGACTCCTTTGCTCAAATTGTCTTACAACTTCACCTCCAGCCTATTTTCCCTTCATGCTCCTCTATCTTTTTCCATTGGCCTGTTCAAGCACCAGTACCATACAGTGAGTGTAAGTATCTGTTTTCTTTCTTCTTGATAAGGGAGGTGATAGGGAAAGAAACCTTTCAAAGGCTGAAATTAATATAATATATAATATTATATATCAATGTAATAAAAGTATATTACAATAAAAATAGGGGGAAATGCTAATATCCCACTGGCCAATAAATGGCTATTATGAAGTCAAACATTTAAACACTCACTGGGTCATTGTATCAATATTAAATCTTCTATCTTATAGACTGCATAAAAACAGTATTTTTTCAATTTTATTAGTTACAGAGGGTTTTGGGAGTATAGCTTTTTCAGAACAGTTTTTGCTATAGTGGTGACTAAATACTATACTACTGTATAACACCTAATTGGGTAAGCATCTCATTAGGAACACCTCCTTGAAGGATGAGAAAAAAAAATACAACTACCTACTTCTACACTTGCAAGGGCTTCTGAAATATTTATGGCTGGCTATTCCATCACTTGTTCCATGTGGATGTTGTAGCTATGGTTGCCATCATCATCATCATTATCACCACCATGAAGATCACTTTCTGGATCCATTTTCACACTAGTTAGCAATTCTGTAGCAATTTTAGGATTTGCTAACTTTTCAAAAATAGTTAAATTTCTACCTAGAGCCACAAAGTTTTCAAAATTAAACTGGTTTGGGACAAAAGTGACAGTAACTAAGTACCAGAGTGGTTCAAATCTCATATTTGGTTTGCAGTCTTTCTTGAGCATGCATACTGGCCTAAAATCAGGAGGGGTTATGAACACTACTGAAACTCAGGGTTAGCTGACTCTCCAGTGACAAGTCATCTCATCTTTTTCACTCAGGCTATATTATAGTAAAATAGAGCCACTCTCTGTTTACCTCCTTTACAAAGTTCCCCTTGGATATAATATAAGACAACAATGTAAGACAACAATAGGAAAACACTTCATCACCATTCAAGCTGTATCAGGCAATTGCTTTTTAACATTTCTCCTGCAATGTTAAAAACTTCCTCCACTGGAAAAGCGGGTTCTTTTTCACTACAGACACTTTTGAAAAAATTCCTTCACATGCCTGAAATTTGTTCTGAAATGTATCATGCCCCAAAGTTTGGGGAAAATCCTATGCTTTCTGCTGAAAATATGCTTTAATTAAAGGCCCATTTTTTATACCAACTTTTTGACAACATGCAAAAGTTAACTATAAAAGAGACCTTTGGTAGTGGGGGTGGCATAATAATATAAACCTGAAGAGGTGTGAATCTATTCCCCTAAATTATATATAATGCTGTAAACAAATGTTGCCCAATTTAAAAAAAAATGAGAGAAATCAAACAAAATAAATATCAAAAAGTCTATCAAAAAATTAAAAACAAAGGGAAACAAAGGGGGAGGGTTATTAACCACTACACTATATTATAAGACTTAATGCACAAATTTTTATTGCTTGTGATAACTTTCTGGAAAGTATAAAAGTAGCATTTTCTATTATATGTGGTATAAGTAGTGTAAGAAAGCTTAATTGTATTGCTGCTTCTCTTTTTTATGAGTCTAGTCACTGAAGATATTACAAGTTATTCCCAAATTTCAAGAATTTTTTTATACCAATATGAATTAATAAAGAACCTTTAGTCATGTCTACATTTTTAATTAAAATATACAGATTACTGAGGCGGTAATCTGAAAGGGTTTTCACAGCCAAGTGTTTTGTATCTGTAACTACAAAAACAAAACAATCTTCTCATGAATCTCTTAACCTCCCTGTACCACAACACTGTAACTGGGAAATAACAAAAAACACACACAGAGGGATTAGCAGAGAAGACTGGACCTTGGCATGGCCCTGCTCCTGGCTAAGTTATTTGATGATCAGATTATGTGTGGGACTGTTTGCAAAATACTCAATAATTTAGCTAATGATGGAGCCACGACTGGCTGTCCAATATGCCTAGATGACCCTATTCTTAGTTTTTTCATTTTTCCACTACCCACTTCTTGCTCCTTTTATCTATGCACAAGAAATTTTTATAAATTTTTTAGAGAATTTTTCATGCATGCTAAAAAAAATCTAAACAAATTTGCATTTGCTTCATATTTCCCTTCAGTAATAAGTTCTTTAACTTTTCTACCCATCCTCTTGTGAAGAAAATATGTAAAGGGGAAAAGAGGAGTTAGAAATAAAGACCTGTACCTTTGCACAACTCCATAAGGGTCATTTAAAATGTGAGTCAGAAAGGTGAGCCATTGTGAATTAATACACAATGTGGGAAGTTTTACAAGATAGTCCTTGACAGTAGTTTTAGCAGTTTTGAGTGGTTTTTCCTCCTTCAGTAAAATTCTTGCTCAGGGGGATGACCCAGAAATTATTTGGCAGCTGACACTAAGTAATTCACTGGCATAAAATTGCCATAGCTGTTTATATCATATTGTATATATAAATTAAATCTATATAAAGAATGAGTTAGAGAAAAAACTTAATTTTCAGATACACATTTTTGAAATAAGCAACTCAACAGAAGTTAAATCAAAATCAAATTTCCAGAATGATGTAATAGTGAGGAGCTTTAGCAATCATCAATCTTTCAGAGACATGTTATTTTAGTTCCACATTTCTACAATCTTATCATTTAAAAAATAACGAAGTATGGAGCAGGGCACCTTAAAATAATTTAAATTAATACAAATAAGTTTGAAGTAGAATCAAGAGGACTCTATATCTTGAAGTAATCTAGCATAGCCTTGTAGTCCAATTTCGGCATTTATAAACAGTCTTTGAGTGACAGCCTCAGTTTCCACCGTTATAAACTGGGTACTATCTATTGCGTAGAACTGACGCCTAGGTTAAGTAAGCGACACTTTTAAAAGGATTTAGCAAATGTTCAACGTCCTCACCAGAACCAACCTCTTCTTTAAAGAAAAGTGCGCGAGAGAGACCTACAAAGAGACCGTGTCTTTGACACCGTGAGAGTGAGACAAACCAGGTCGCTCAGCTCCTACCGCACCCCCAGTCCACCACCTCACCCCCATCGATAAAGGGCTCTGCACTTAAAGCTATTACAGATTTACCATAAAACTGTAATCACTTAAATTTATAGATGGTTTTAGTTTTGTTTTAAACGTAAAATACACTTTTTTAAAAGTATCTCGCCATCTCTTGACTTTACCGGAGGGAGAGTTTTGACCACGGCTGCTGCAAAGGTCTGAGAGCGGTCGCGTGTGACTTGGCTCGCCCGGCCCCCACCTGTGGCACCCGTTCTGTAGGGGCCACAGGGAGTCCCCCACCCCGAGGGTGCACTAGCGCCTCGCGCGAGAAACGCGCTCCGGGGGGGTCCCGTACGGTGCTGCCTTGTGAAGTGACTAAAATGGCCACGTCCCTCTGCTTGGAGAGCAGCGCTGGGCACAGAGACCGTCCGGGAAATGAGAGGGTCTGGGGGCGGTTTCGGGGGCGCTGACCTGGGCCAAGCGCCTGGACGGCGAGGGAAGACGAAGGTGGGGTCACGCCGCTCCAGGTCTGGGGGGAGCAATCGCGGGGGCCCGCGCTGGGGCGAGCAATCGCGGGATCGCGAGAACACCGGCAGCGGCGCCGCACCTGGAGCCCCGCCCCCCGCGGCCGGCGCGCCCGCGACCTTCCGCTCGCCGCGCGCCCGCCACCTCGCCTCCCCGCCGCCGAGTCCGCCTCGCCTCGCCCCCGCCTGCGGGGAGGAGCAGCCCCGCGCGGTCGCCCCGTGCACAGCGACCCCTGCAGCCCGGAGGGCGCAGCGCAGGGGCGCGAGCCCTCAGTCTGGTCCACCGCATCCTGGAGATGGTTGGAGTTCACAAGCAGTGTAGGTTTCTTCCTTCCTTTCTTTTTTTTGTACCTACAGTTTATAGCCTCTCTGGAAAGAAGTTTGATAGGGAAAGAAACCTTATGTCTTGTCTCGTCCTATTCTCATTTTAAGGGTACAGGCTTTTAAATGTGTAACACCCAACACAGTCCCATTCCTTTCTTAGCACCTTAATATGCCAAGACGCAAGATTCTTGCAATTACCGAGGAGGTAATAGATAAGCCAGCCGCGGGTTTGCACTTATTTTGTTCATGTTTAGATTTGTTGAGATACAAGTTATATTGCAACACAAATTGGAATAGCAGGTGGGGTTATGCAAATTTTTGGCAAATAGATTTTGTATTGAAAGCTTGTCCTGTGGAGTCAGATTGTATTTTTAGTTTATTTGGGGTTTACTTTTTAATATTTATTGACATTTGATATTACTAAGCAATCTTCTGGTAAAACAAGTCAAAGTGCTAATTAAAAAGCTGTTTGTTAGTGAACAAAACATCACTAATCCAAAGAGAAATTAAATCATAACCACAGTGAAATATCACCTCATACTTGTTAGAATGTCATTGAAAGTCACAAGACAGCAAGTGTTGATAAAAGATGTGACGGAGAGGAAACCTTGTACTACTGAGAGTGCAAGTTGGTGCAGCCACTATGGAAAACATACCGTATCCCAGAAATTTAAAATAGAACCACCATATGATTCAGCAGTCACATTTATGGATATATAATTACACACACACATACACACATATATAATATATATAGTGAAAATTGGTTCTTAAAGAAATATTTGTACTCCGTGTTCACTGCAGTGTTCAAGATATGGAAACAACTTAGGTGTCCACACATGGATGTTGATAAGGAAGTTGTGAAATTCTATATATGAATATTATTATTCAGCCAAGAGAAAGAAAGACATCTGCCATATGACAATATGGCTGAAGCTGGAGAACATTTGGCTAGTTGAAATGAGTGAGACAGATTAAGACAAACAGTGAATTAGATTTTTAGATTATGTGAAATCTAAAAAAATTGTTGAACTCATAGTAACAGAGACTAGAATAGTGGTTACCATGAGCTACAGTGTAGATAGAATGGGGAGCTATATTAATATTGCTAAATTAATTAAACATGGAGGTCATTACATTGGAATGGTTCTGATGTGGCATATGTAAGTTAACAAATATCTGAGACTCTTAATGCTTCAAGATTTGAGAAATAAAGATACAAAGATAACCAATCACAAACAATCTAGTAGCTATAAAAATAAATAAGCTACTATAGTGAAATAATTTCCTTCCTTTGTCACCCTGCCCACTTCTTTGTATAGCTATTTCTCTTCTGTCAAGTGTACAAGCCTAATGATTTGCATTTTGATTCAACATGGCTCAAATAAACTCAACATTTTTAATATGCCTCAGTTTAGCTTTTGATAGTACACTACAAACTTCAAGTTATAAGATAAATAAACTCTGGGGGAACTATAGCGGTGATCATTAGATAACATGTGAAAGTTTCTAAGAGATTAAATCTTAAATATTCTCACCACAAAAAAAATAAATAAAAAGAAATAGCAATTTGGTGATGTGATGAGGGTGTTAGCTAATTGATGGTGGTAATCATTCTGCAATATATGTATGTTAAATGAGCACACTGCATACCTTAAACTTGCCCAATGCTATAAGCTTAGTAAAGACACAGGGGGGTGGGGTGGAAAGAGTTGCCCTTAAAATCTGACTAAAGATCTACAGACCAGATGCAGTACTAAACTTCCACAGTGAGTGCAAAGTCCCTCCAAAGTCAGTGTTGTTTGTGCGGTAGCCATAGAACAAGTGAGGTTATAAATATTACTGCGTTGCATCACCATCAACATACTCATAGAGTCTCATTCCTTAGTATTCCCCATTCTTTTTTTTTTTTTAAAGATTTATTTATGCGTACAGAACTGGGGTACAGGTCAGAGGTGTAGGGGCGGTGAAAGCATTCACCAGAGACAGAGGGAGCAGAACAGGCAGATCAACAAAGTACACTGCTGAGGGGAGCAGTGAGCGGGTCAGGAGAGGTCTGCCGCACCATGTGGTCACCTTCAGGGCAGGCGGGAATCGAACTCATGCGGAAGTGGCTTTAGGTTGTTAGTGCTGTGCTTTAACCTGCTGCGCCACCAGGGAGGGCCCAGTATTCCCCATTCTAATCAGTAAAATGCCGCATATCACTCTAGGAACAAAAGGACTTTCACTGTCATGATCTAAAGCTATCAGGTGAAAGACTATATGAAACATAAGAACGTGTAAGAAAAAGCGAAAACTGTAAGTAAAGACAAAAAAGCCTATAGGCCTTGACAATATCATGGATGTGAACACATTGCAAATGCTATGGACAAACAATAGTTCTTTCCAGTTTACCGATGCTTTTAAGAAATTACTTTGAAGAATGATGCCAGTCTGGATTCAGTTTTCATAATCTTCAAATTTAAACAGCACCATCAATATTCAGCAATATTTAATGGGAGATTTGATATTTGCAAGGATTAAGGGATTTCATATTTGGTGGGATTAGCTACAAAAGCAAAGTTTCCTCTGTATGAAAGTACATTCAAATTTACAAAAGACATTTACTTTAATCAGGCAATCCCAAAGCCTTTTCAAAGGAATCCGAAGTACTAGGGCTATTTTTCAGACAAAAATGAATACTTGATTTATAATGTTTAATAAAAAACAGATTAGTTCACTATCTTTTGGTTGGTGGTGTTTGTTATTTATTTATTTATGTGTACAGAACTGGGGTGAAGGCCAGAGGTGCAGGGGCAGTGAGAGGATTCACCAGAGACAGAGTGGGGAGCAGAACAGGCAGATCAAGGAAGTGCACTGCAGAAGGGAGCAGCAGGTGAGATATGAGAAGTCTGCTGCACCATGTGGGTCATCTCTCTGGGTGGGGATTGAACTAGTGCTGAAACTTAACCTGTTGCACCACCAGGGAGGGAGGGCCCTGGTGGTGTTATTTTTATAAAACAAGTCTTGGCTCTCCCTCGCAGCAACAAGACAAGTCAAAAGAGGCGATATAATTAATGTAGGCCACGGGGATATCTTGCTCCATTAACTGAATCATTAGTTAATAAACTAGAGAAAATTAAACATGCTATTGTAGATTACTGAAGCAACCTCAGTCTTCAGTTCCCTTCCCTGCCCAGATCCTCCTCCCTCACTTTGGTCCACACCCTTATTCTTACCCTCCCACTCTGTCTCAGAGTGGTCTTGTGGCTTAATTTGATGTTTAGTAGTGTGGCCCAAGCAGAAGCTGAAAATGGTTTGAGTTAGTGAATATACTTTAACTAACCCACTAAAGAAAAAAAAACATGTCGAATTAAGCTATGCCACACTAGTCATTCCAACTGAGACCACCCTAATAACTGAGCGAAGAGTTAGAGTCAGAAACAGACTAGACAAGGAAGTTTGGAAGGATGTTTCAGGGAGGGAGAACAGAATGAACACAGGCCTCAGGACACAAAGCCATGCCATGTTCTGTAAGGTGGTTGAAAATCCACTCTAAGTTTGAATAAAAAACAATGTGGGAAGAATGAGGCTGAGACACAGATAAGGGCCAGTCCAGAAGGGTTCATACCTATGGTAAGGGATTTGAACCTTATTCCAAAGGGCAATGAGGAGCCACTGAAATGGTTTAAGCTAGTAATGACATGGTTAAATTTGTGTTTTACACAGATTCTCTGAGAACAGGAAGGGCTGAAGGGTACAGCATTATTCAAAAAGCCAGTGCAGCAATTTAGTAGAGAGAGAATAAAGGCATGTCCATTGAAAAGTAGGAAGTGGCCCTCCCTGCTGGTGCAGCGGGTTAAAGCACAACACTAAGAAGCTAAAGCCACTTCCGCATGAGTTCGATTCCCGCCTGCCCGGGATCCACATGGCGTGGCAGACCTCTCCTGACCCGCCCGCTGCTCCCCTCAGCAGTGTACTTCGTCGATCTGCCTGTTCTGTTCCCCACTCTGTCTCTAGTGAAGGCTCTCGCCGCCCCTGACCTCTGGCCTGTAGCCCAGTTCTGTATGTACAAATAAAATAAATCTTTAAAAAAAAATTAAAAAAATAAAAGTAGGAAGTATGGAACATGTGGAGAGATGCTGGCAATATTAGCAGGTAACGTCATGAAGACCAGTGACTGGTTTGGACTAGGTAAGAGGTGAGGAACAAAAGGAGATGAGGGTGTAGTTATCCTACTCTTTCGGCTCCCCTCAGCTGTTCCTTCACTGGCTTCAGGAAACTACTTTGTCCAGTTGTACTCCTCATGCTTGCCTGAGATCAGAGACTGGTACATGAGGGGACGCAAGTTTACAGCCCTCTTGCTTGAGTTTGGGAAATCTTTGATAGGTTGACCCAGCTCCAGAGCCCAGTAGTGGACCAAAGCCTCAGTTACAGCTACTTGTGTCTTAGCTTCCTACTCACCCCCGCCCCCCGCCACCTCCTCATTTCTCACAGATATGTTCTTATTCTTCAGTTGCCTCTTCCTAAGGCCATGACTTTGTGAAATTTTCCCTAG